AACATATCATTCTTTAATTATATATGAATTAAGTTTTTTAAGATGATTTAACTTAGCCATTTAATTTCTATGTTTTCTCATGATCAGTAATTGAAGTTAACCCACAGGTGTTCATTAAGAATACTTTAAAATTTGTAGGGCCTGACGGTCACAAATCACAATATGACTACAAGTTCCTGTGGCAGAACTCCTTTGAGGGCAGAAGAACTTCTTTCAAGGAGCAGCGTGTCTTGTGGACTGCTGCTAAATTCCCGAAAGAACCATTGACTACAGTGAGTTGATATGAGCATTGTAATATAGTGTAAAGTAACATTTTTTACTGCATTTTGTTACCTTATATTTGGATTTGGTTGAACTGTTGTCAAGATCTAATCAGATGACATTTATGTATTTTCCAGTTGTTTATATCAGGTGTTTACATTTTTACAGGTACCACTGAGTGAACTTACTAAACCAGACAAAGAAGGCCTGAAAAAGCTGATTTCCTCTATTATGAAATATGGCTTTGGCTTCATTTCAGAGGTACATTATTTCTGCTTGTGTACTCGCTGATATTTAAATTAGCAATGCAGTACCAGTTTGTATATTGAAAATTATATAGGTAAAAGGAGTTTGTGTATCTATTTTCATTTTTTTTTTTATAGATATAAAGTGTACCATTAATTGCCTTACCTTAGATATTAATGGTTATTTTTAGATTTGATAAAGTTTTTGTATGGATTCATCAAAAGTTTGTCTTTCTATGAAATGTGTGATATGTTTATTTATCTACATAATAGATAAAGATATTGACTTAATAATGCATTGCAGAAATGTAAATTTATGAAGGAATTTAATAGTAGTAGAATAATAGTTACCAATTTTTAGATGAAAAGAAACAGTGCAGATTTGTATACTTTTCAAGTGATATTAGAGAAAAGAATGAACATTGACAGGTACCAGCAGATGTAGAGTCAACACGTGCCGCTGTAGAGCAAATATGTCCATTAAAAAAGACCTTCTATGGAGAAGCATGGGCAATGGAAGCAAACATGGAATATGCTGATACAGCCTACTCCAAAGAAAGATTGGGAGCTCATACTGATACTACCTATTTTTCCCAAGCCTGCAGGTAGGTCACTGCTGCTTACTTATTGATGATAATCTAGTATGAATGTTATAGAAAAGTTTTCATGATAGTCAAAGCTGTTGATCTTCTTGCTTTGTTTATTTTCTTGTCGATTTATACATTTTTAACAACTTTTTCTAGGATCCAAGTATTTCACTGCTTCCTTGCAGCGGACCAGGGGGGAGAAAGTTTACTTGTGGATGGCTTCAGCGTAGCCAAGCAGTTTCGTGACCGGCATCCTGAAGGGTACAAATTCCTGTCAGATACATCGATACCATCTGAATATATAGAAGAAGGAAGACACCACTTATCCTTAGACACAATCTTCAAGCATAATCCTGCAACTGGTCGGATTAAGCAGTTTAGGTTGGTATTGGTATTTTTATTCATCCTTCATGCTGGGGTATATTGTGCAATTTTTGTCTTTTTATCATTTTTCCTGCTTGTGTATTGAAATATTTATTTACCTTTTGAGGAAATAATTTTCAGTTATTACTTAATTTGACATTTTGAAGTGAAGCTGCTAGAAGTCAGGGAAATTGGAGTTTTTTTATTTTTAGGATAGATTGATTATATGTACATTGCATTCTGTGTAAAGAGGTTTCTTTTATTGCATTTTTATACTGCTTTTAAGTGTATCATCAAGTAAGAGCAATAGTTCTGATCCTCAACCTATCTGTTCTGTGTATCAGAACATTTTGGCCGTGTTTGGTAGTGTCTCTTTGGAATATATATTAATGGATGGTTCTTGGCAAGCGTATAATCTTTAATTGAATGTTATTAGAAACATATGTTCCTAGAATGGTAGAATATTTCCAGGCATTATATTTTGGATCAGTTGGAATATAGTTCCGTGCATCAGTGATTTCCTGAATCCAGATCACCTGTGATGCTAGTCCTTCCAATACAAATTTGAAGTATAAAATGCATTCCATGCTTTCTTTTCAGTATCGTTTATGCAAACAGTAATTGTAAACTATGTTATACAACATATCCCTAATATGATTGGTAAGGAATGCAGTAAAATTTTCTCTAGGCTTCCCTTTTCAGTAGAATAACTACAGAGGTGTTGTCTTCATTTCCACTTTTAGTTGTGCATGATGAGGGAAAATAAAACTGTCCTTTATATTTAGTTGCCTCAAAACTAAAGATGAGCCTAAATTTTTTGTTATGTGGTTCATTAGTGAATTAGAATTACCACTTTAGTAGCTGACTGAAGAAAGCAAGGAATGAAATGAAAGATATAAAGTTATTTGTCAGTAATTTGTATTCCTGCTGTACTTTTATTTCTGCAGGTACAACATCTATGACAGGGCACCTCTCTCATCCATTCCTCTTGAACGTATGCAGGAATTCTACTTGCACTTGAGAAACCTTACGAGCATCATCAGAAATCCAAGGAATGAATATTGGATTAAACTGGAACCAGGTAAAGCTAGCTCACTCTTGTGTATTTAAGTATTTTAAAGATTTTCTTTGTATTTTAGTTTTATGTTAGAAGTTACTGTCAAATATTAGTTGTGATTATATTAATTAACTTTTCTTGGACTGTCTTGACTTGAAAGTATTGGATGTAATATTTTTAATTAGCTATTATAAAAGTATTAATAATGTTACCAATCTTATCAGTTTGTTGAATGATTGATAGAAATAGGACAGGGTTCCTTACACAATCTGAAAAATTGCCCATGGATTTATTGTTTTATAGACCATTCTGTATATCTTTTGGCTCACAGTCATTTTCATATGAGGTGTATTAAGTACTTCAGTTATACGAGTACTTCAATTTTTAGAACAAGTTGTTGTTATAACATTGGAATGACCCTTAGTTTGCACTTTTTTGGTTTTGATGAAACCGTAAGAAATCTTTGCTACTTTGCCCTGTAAACATGAATACCGGATGTTAATTCAGTGATATTCCCCATGATAGTAATTTGTAACTATTGCTTTTGGTATTTTTTTACATATATTTTTCATCACTCAATAAAAAAAAGCTGTTTTCTTGTTCATTTATATAAGCATTCATTTATGTCTGTTTTTTTGTTTTTTTTTAATGTTTATATTTTGATATATTTATATTAACAATTTCAGATTTATTTACCTTTCACAATTTTTCAAAATGACATTCCAGTTTGTATTATTGATTTTTTTCGTATTTTTCACTACTTCTAGGTAATCCATTCATAAATTGCAATCTGTTTTCTCAAACCTGCAGGAAAGGTGTTGCTGACCGACAACTGGCGTCTCATGCACGGCCGAGCAGCATTCTCAGGCAAACGGGTGATGGGAGGGTGCTACCTAGATAATGATGACTTCATTAGCAAAGCCCATGTCCTTGGAATAAACCTTGAATAGAGTTTGAAATAGTTTTTAAGTGTTTAGATGTGCCATCATGTGTGTGTTTGTGTATGCTTCTGTAATGACAAATAGCATTTGGAAATATACTTTAATACCCATTTTTCTGTGTACCTGGTTCTTGATGATTCTGAACTTTAAAAGGAATATTAGAAGATAAGTATTATGTGATATGTGTATGACACATAGGAATCATGTTGCAAATATTTGTTATTATGATTAAAATGTATTGTTGATCATGGATAAATTAATGGATCTTGTCTTTCATTTTCCATAGTAAACTAGCATGTCTCATATAACATATAAAACATTGCATACTGTACATTGCAATTGTGACTCTTTAGTGCCAATTTTTTCCTCTTTAATATATTGGTAACCTTTTTGTAATAATTTTCAGTTGAATATTTTTGAAATTTGAATGTCATTCTTCTTCTTTTGTTTTGTTCATCTCTTTATATTGCATTTTTAAATTTTATAATTCTCATTTGAAAGAGCAGTGATTAAAGAGTAACTCTGAATGGATTTATTTCCAAATAGCATAGAAATGAAGAAATGATATGCCTTTCTATTTGTTTATTCAGCTTTTATAGAATGGTGAGAAAGTAAAATAGCTATTTTTCTCTTTTCGTGTTGTGCATTTCCTTGACTTCCAAAGAGATTCTTGTATATTATTTCACCAATTTTATTGTTGTTAATATTTTAATAACCAAATAATAATCATCATGTCAATAACAATAGTAATACTTCGGCCATCTTACTGAATTCTTGATGTCTGAGCACTTTTGGAGCCATTTGTGCTGAACAAAATTAACATTTTTGTATTGACATTGTTAGAGGGATAATTTTCTTTGCTCAAGATTCTTTCTCTCTCTGGGCCCATATTTCACCTTAGAATCCAGGTATTTAATCTCATGGGGTGGAAGTTCTCTTTGTCTGAGAAACCACCCCTCTACATTCCAGGTCAGAGATATGGGTGTATTTGTTTATTTATTTACTGAAAATTTTCTGCCCCATCAACATCTAGGCATATTCAAAATATAGCGATAGTGTGAGGTCTTTGCCCCCAGGTAAGGAAGTGCTATATGACATATGAAAAGGATTAAGAATGATTTAATGGTTAGGGTAAAGTTATAGGTTGAGCAATAGAGGGTGAAAAGGGTAGAGAAAGGGGGCTGATGGGGTATAATATAAGGTAAAGGTTGTTAGAAGGGAAGGCATCAAGGGAATAGTGAGCATCATCATAAAGTACTGTGGTGAAAATGGCAGAAATGAGTTTTAACTATTAGGATAAGTGGACAGAACAAGGGGATGAAGAAAAGGAAAAGGAAAGGAGTAGAAGAAAAGACCATGTAAAATTAATTCAGGCGAGGGTTGAGGACCATGGCAGGGGTAATCCCCTATATTGGGCCTCAGTCCCCATCTCACACACCCCCATGAGCAAGGAATTGGGGGGATATGGGTGTAGCTGCAGGTGGGGACGACTAAAGGAAAACTTCTTAGCCTTTTTGCAGTGTTCATTTTGTACTCAGACTAAATGAGAGGGGTGGTGGGGGAAGAGGATGGTAAACCTTAGTAATTTTTCTATGTGATAGGGTATTTAGGTAGATTAACACCATATCACAACCTGTTTTCTTATGAATAAGTTCCATAGTCATGTCTATATTGTGTGGGCAAATGCCTCTAAACCAAAGCAGAAATATTAAGACAGTGACAATAACATGACAATATGTGACATAACATTTTAATTAGTCCCATTCCATCATGTGAAGAGGTTTCCTCCAGAATTATATGTGATTCCACTCTTTTATAGTTTCCTCATTTATGTACTTGTGGAATAAAATCATCTTATAACATTTGTAGTGATATAATTATTTAATATGTTGCAACATCTCTAAGCTCGGAAAACCCACATCCAACTAGGAGGTACCTAAGGTATTAAGAGAAAAAAATGTGAAGGGTATGTAAAGTGCAGCCAGTTTTCCCTCTTTTTATACTTCATATAATTTTGTATTTTAAAATGAAAGCAGAATTATTCTTCATTCCAGTCATGCTTTCTTGCACAGTGTAATATTTGAATGTATTAACAAATTAGTTGTCATTATTATTATTATTGTTATTATTACTATTATTATTGTTGTTGTTATTACTATTATTATTGTTATTATTATTTGTTATTATTATTATTATTATTATTATTATTATTATTATTATTATTACTATTATTATTATTATTATTACTATTATTATTATTAATCAGAACTATTATCATTTATATTACTATCAGTATACAGGTAAGAAGTAATAATTCTGATATCAATTTATTTTGTTTTAGGTTTTATGTATTTTAGCTTTTGGTGTTTATTTTCCACATTTTTTTCATTTCTGTTGTTGAGAAAGAAGCTCAATAAGGGACCATTATAAGTGCTAACAAAGAAAATATTTCACTACTTAGTTTCACATTCCAGTTATTGCAGTACTTCTTTACAGCTTACTTCATAATGTCTTACCTCAATCTGTATGTACTGAAATGACTGAAGTGGTGGTAATCCAAAGGATGCAGATAGTATTACATGCCAAGTCCACTGTAATTTTAGTTTATTCAATGTGTTTACACAGAGATGGCTCCATAATCATTAATCCCATGTATCTCACCTGTTTAGACCCTTCCTTGATTTCTGGATTTATTCTTTTATATTATGTCACTATTTTTACTGTTAATAGTATTTTAGTAACCTTTTAGTAATCATAATGTTAACAATAGTAATAACGATATCATAGTAATCATAATGTTAATAATAGTAATAACAATATCAGTATTAAGTACATAAGAAAATACAAATTCAAGAAATGGGGAAATCACGAGCGGGTGACGTACTAATTGACTCTTTGGTGGCTAAGCACTTGGGGAGCCATCTATGTGCAACAAAATTCAGTGGACAGTACAAAGCCCAGTGGTCACTGGGTTAAGATTCTACCTGCTAGCTAGATTTTGTGTGTGTAATAGTTCTCTTCTTCTTATATTTCAAGTACAGAAAGTCCCCAACTTACGAACATAATGGGGACCGAGAGGCTGTTCATAACTCCATTTGTTCGTATATCCAAAGTCGGGTCTCTATTGCCCTTTTCCCCATTGTTTTAAAGTTTTGTTTACATTAAGAATACCTGTACATAAATCCTAATAAGTATTTTTGATGGATTGATGCACAGGTAAAGCGAATTATGGCACAAAAATTGGCGGTACACGAAGACACAGTGAACAGATGCTTTCGTGTTTATGGTGGGTGGGCAGGCGACCAAGGTGAGTGATGCGCATTGCTGAGTGAGCGCGGCAGCATCATGGTGTGGCAGACTCATGAACTATATTCGCACCCAGGAAATTTGAAGTTTGCTAGCATCATTAAATCAATTTTTTTGACTGAAGTATTTAAAAAAATTTGTTTGTATGTATGGAATGTTCGTAAGTACAATGTTTGTAAATAGGGGACTTACTGTATACGTAAGGATTCACTGTTTACTTTAATGATCCAGTTTTACACATAAGAAGCTTGCCTCAATTCAGTGTATCAGGGGACTTAAAATGTTGTTATTGAGACCGGGTTTATACACTTTGTATCTTCTTTTGTTGATGGATATAAAATACTACTCAATAAAAAATGTGATCCACTGTTCTGTTGCTGGTTCTGTTAACATCCCAAGTGAAGGCTTTAAGTTTTGTTAAATGTTATATGAAAATTTCCCTCTTTAAAAAAGAAGTGATTATTGTCATAACAGTGATAATAATGTTAACAGTGGTGAGTAATTAAAATAACTAGTAATGATTGATAATTAATTGTTGAAACAAACAGATATCCTTGACAATGGATTAAGGTGGATATTAGTCAAAGGGGAAAGAAAATTAAGGATGAAGGGGTGATTAGATAAGATGGAGAGTATCTATGTACCTGAGGAAGGCAAAGGAGCATGACATGATCATAGGGCCAGAGCTGCCAAGAAGGATAGAAATGGCTGTTGGATAAATAGGAGAAGAACTTGGCAAATGGAAAGGGAACAGGGGAAGGAGATGAAGTATCTGAAAGAATGTCAAGGGAAGGATCTGGTAAATAACACTTGTGACATGTGAGTCATGTGAGCATCCAGGAGAGAGTGGAATGGTTAACAAGGAAAGAAGGGGGAATGGTGCCAATAGAAAAGGGAAAGATGGGGTACATTGTGAGAACATGGGAGGAGAGGGGTAGGAAGAATATTAGGATGAGGATGGATGTCAGCAGTTACTTTGAGTGTTGAGGGAATGGGAGAAGAAAGATTGGAGGATGGATGAGAGAGAGGAGCATTCTCTTGGGTCATGACCCAATCCCTTGCTCATTGTTGTCATGGGGGGATGGGGACTGAGGCCCAATGTGGGAGATTGCCCCTACCTTGGTCCTCAGCCCTTACCTCAACCAATTTTGCATGGTCTTTTCTTCTCCTTCTTTCCTTTTTCATTGTCTTCATCCCCTTGGTCTGTTCACTTTTAATCATTAACTCATTTTTACTGTTTTTGCAACAATACTTTAACTCTCTCCCTTTCTAACAAACTTTACCTTATGCTATATCCCATCAGTTCCCCCTCTCTACCCTTTACACTACAATGCTACCTTCTAGTATTGTTCAACTGTAACTTTACTCTAATCATTAACACATTCCAACCCTTTTTTCTACTATACTTTATCATAGCACCATATGACCTTGATGTTATATAGCACTTAATTACCTGGGGGCTTTGCCCTCAAGCTTAATGCTATCACTATATTTTGAAAATGCCACTAATGACCTTAGAAGTTGATGTGGCAGAAAATTTTCAATAAATAAATAAATCTTGTGTCAAGTTTAGGAAGTTTTAGATGTCCTCAAGTTTCTGGAAAGGAGTTGGGTGGAGAGGTCTGAGAAATAAAGGTTTTCTTGTGAGGAGGAGAAGAGGAGGCAGATATCTGAGGAGCAGAGGAAGAAATGGGTGTTGGAGAGAATGTGGTACGAGAAAATGGGGTGAAACATTTAGATTGCCTGGTGCAACAAGTAGAGTGAGAAATAGGGGTAGGCACCAAGGAAGTGGTAGGTATTGGAGTATCTGGATTTAGAATGGCAGAAGAATTCAAATGGAAGAGAGAGAGGGTAGAGGTAAGATGGTAAGTAGTAGGGGAGTTACCGAGGGAGAAAGAAAGAAGAGTGGTGTGAAGGACAGTGTTGGAATAGGTAGTGAGAAAAAACTTCAATGGGCTTCCTATTTAGCCTTGCATAGTGAGACCAAGTTTAAATCTGAGAACTGCTACCTCTGACTTGAACTTGTATGCAGGGAAACTCAGAAGTAACTATTTGGAACAGTTGTGGAAGGAAACTCTGCCTACTTGTTTTTGGAGACATTGTTGGAAGAGGAGGGTATTGTCAGAGAAAGGGGCTATAGGGGGAATCACAAAGAATTAACTCCATTTGGCTGGACTAAAAAGAGTATTTAAAAGGTTTGTAGAGGTGGAAGTAGTACAAAGATGAGGACAGGAGGAAGAGGAGTGCTGTGGAGAGGAGAACGGTAACAATGAAGACTTATAAGGGAGGAAGGGATTGAAAATGAAGAAGACTATGCAGGAGGAAGAGATAAAATAGAGGATGTTGGGAGTGAGAATGGGATGTATTCTGAAGGTTTAGTAATGACCTTGAGTGAATGATTTAGAATGGATCAAGTTGACAGCAATTGTCAAGGAAAGGGTAGCAGTAGCAGTAGACAGAACCGTGATCAAAGGAGAAGCAGGAATTGACAAACCAGAGAAGTCAGTATCATATAGGCTAGTTCATGAAGGTGTAAGTCTCAGTAACCCTTATAAGGGTACAAAATCTTCATTACTGGCTATGGTGAGCCATGAGGGGTAAGAGCCAAAAGATTAACCAAGGGAATACTGTGCCTATGGCTCACCGAGGCTGTTCACGACAAAGTCAGCCTTTCATCCTTTTAGCTTGGCTCTTACACTTTAGGAGGTGGACTGAAGAAGGGCTGGAGAAGATAGAACAGGAAAGGGGACAAGAAAAGACCGTATGAAAGTAGTTGAGCCAAGAGGTGTGGCCCAGGGTTAGAGTGATCCCCAACATTGGGCCTCAGTCCCTGTCCTCTATGTCTCTGTTGATAACAATTGGCATGGGATTAAGTGGGTAACAGTTGCAGTAATAATGCTCACAAAATATTGATTCTTAAATTCAATAAGATAAATATCTTTGTATTAAAAAAATAGAAAACACCTTTCAAGCCTTTTCTTGAAAAATTACTAACTACTAATGTAACTTCCAAAGCATGGACTGAAAATTTGAAAAAGAAAGAAAGAAAAAAAAAAAACATTTTTTTTGTATGTACATTTATTCCCACTTCACTAACCTAGGAAGTAATAAAAGAATCTAATGTGACTTTCTCTTATTATTTAATTTCTAAAAGTCTTCTGGATAAGGAAGTTCACTGTCCCTAAGGTAACATGTAATTAAAAAAGCCATATTTGTATACAGGCTCTTCAAAATAGGAACACCTACTATTCACCTTGCCATCTCAAAAATATGCCCTTTACTGCCTTTGTCCATACAGGTTAAGCAAGCAAGGATCAATTTAGAATCCTTCATCATCAGCATCAATTAATATCTACCTTTAGCAAAATCAAGTCTTTCATAATACTGCTGGGGAGAACAAAAGGCAGCATCCGGTCATGTACTAAATGCCATTAATACTATTTACCATTAACAATATGGCATCTAGAGGATGGGAAACTAGTCACACACTGAGAAGGCACATTTAAGAATATTGGTACATGAAAAAAATTACAATAATGATTATAATAATATTGATAAGTGACCAAACTTTTTTTTCTCACAGCTAGATTACAGTGCTCCGAATGATAATACATTAAATATCTTGAGTTGAAAGGAGCTAAGATCAACTAATGAGCTTTAAAAATAACAGTTTATATCACAATGAACTTGTATATATATTCAATTTTCTACAGTGTAATGATATGTTTTGAATTTTGTGCATAACAGGATAGGAAAAAAAGAGACATTTTGATACTGAACAAATAATCTGCTTTTCTTGTATAACTGAAATGAAAGACAAACAAAATAGGATGGGACACAAAAAAAGTAAATGTTACTAAAACATACTAATACAATATGATAAAGGGGGAAAAGAAGAAGAAAAAAAGAAAATGGAAACAGAAACAGATTGAAAAAGAAAAGAGCCAGCAAATTCAAGGTGGAAAAAATTAAGCTATTAAATATTTAGGGCTCACATTAACCCCTTGTAGGTCCTGTAACATTACATGCATCTAGGTGAGGACAGGTCGCATTGCATCCTCAGTTATCATAGTTATTTCAACTCTTCTCACACAAACAGATGGACACAAACAAACAGAAAGCATTCAACAGGCAAAAAATGAGTAGGTTGCCTGTTGACAGACTTTGCTTGCATCCACAGGCAACCCAACCAAGTATCCATCTGGAGTTTTACAGGATCACCAAACAGTGTCCAGAAGTTTAAAGCCCTTTTTCCCCTATAATAATTCTTATTGTTGCTCACCATGGTTATCACAGCACACACAGCTCTATTGAGTACCTCCTCTTATTCCTGCCTGGCTTTGATTGGATGTCACATGGACAACAGTATGGGTTTCCACAGGCATGAAGACAGACAAATCCCAACAATCACTTCTTGTTCATTTGGACACAGTCAGCCAAGTTACTTCAATGCCACACACATACCTGCATGCACGCATGCATGCCCAACCTTAAATGAAAAACCAAAGGGCACACAAACATATGCAAATATAACATGGATAGAGACAATAGTAAGTAGTTAAAATACATTTTTATTCTTTCCTTCTTCCAAGATCTTTCATGACAGGTGGTTACCTGGTATATGAAATAAAAGCCAGCCAGCCTCACTGTATCAACCCTCCTTTTCTCATCCAAACCTCACATTCACCAAGCCACCACCTTCCACACTCCTTCACAACATAAAAATGATGTTAATAAATGATAACTGCATACATTTCCAGTTTTCTTTGTCATTACCATTTTCTAAAACATAAAATATATTCTTCAAATCTGGATTTATTGAAAATTTGACCATCTATCCACAAGGGGTTAAATTCTAGCATCTCTTATTGTGGTTATTTTTTTTAGCCCAAAAAATAAAAACAAAAAGATGAATCAGTATCATAATGCCTGTAAATGAGCAATCTGTAACAATTGATGTTACAACAAAATTCCTTATTTCCAAAAAGATGATAACACAAACAGAATAACTTTTTACATGAACCATGGAATGGTAAATATGACTGAATTCTACACAATCCACCTAATTATAGCTAAAAACAGAAATACATTTTATTTTCAAAATGCTAAATAATTTCACAAGGGAAACAGACTACATAACTGCTAACATTGAAAAGGTTTCAAAATGCATTACAATTGCAATACAATGATTTTTTAAAAAGGATAGTTACAAACTGAAATGCAAAAATACATGATTTTGTTCAAGGTATATAAAGTGGAATTCATAGAACAGTTTTGTGCTTTTGCATCTTTTGTTGCACAATTCCAAATTACAGCATTAAAAAAGGTTGAAGAAAAAGCCACATAGTATATACTTATGCCATTAAAAATAAAACAATTTTATATTACAGCTCATACATATAGTCTAATAATACTGTCTGGAAACATTATGAGCTTCTTATTTGATAAGATAAAGCTCTTTGATATAATTCTTTGCAAGAAATGGAAAAAAGTTACTGTTTTATAAAAAGCATTTGGAATTTACCAAGTTGTATTTCTACCTCTAATTAGTGGCCAAAAGTTATAAAATTCAAATTCATGCCTGGGTATCAAATAGGACTTTAAAACGTGACACTCTGATCAAAAAGAATTTTTCTTCTAGTACAACAACGAATAAATTTAAGGCCACTAGTTCTCTGAGTGAAAAGGGTTAATTCTTGATATTAGGGATATGAATTTCAGGTGGGTCCCTATTATCCCAGTCATTGTAAGACATCTCATGCCTCACACGCCTAGAATCAGTATATACTACCACTGCCAATAGATACAGTTCAACAGTTGCTACAGGATTTCTTTTAATATGCAGGTAAATGAGAGAGGTACATTTCAATTCTGAATCTAACTCATTGATGGCAGGAGAGCATGCATACTTACAATGTTTGTTTCATTAACTCTGTTTACATACAGAGGGCTCCAAAAGCACTTAGTTATTAAGGAGTAAACTACTATTTCAATTACATAATTCATATGTTTAGATAAAAAAAAAATATTAATGTGAAGAAATTAAACTGCTTGCTTTATCTACACTGCCTAGAACTGACATTCCTTTTTGTAACTACTGATAAGCAAATAGTGAGATTTTGAAGATAAAATAAATAAAAATGAAATACAGACTTCAAAAACAGGCATAGCCAATAACTAGTCTACAAAACAAAACTGATAAGGAACATGGTAAGTAGAGAGAGAGAGAGAGAGAGAGAGAGAGAGAGAGAGAGAGAGAGAGAGAGAGAGAGAGAGAGAGAGAGAGAGAGAGAGAGAGAGAGAAAAAAAATCTGATTTTCTATGGCAAACATTAAAAGAAATGTAAAATGTAAATTATATAGTACAGGCTTTTCTGATAGTACTGGGCACATAAATTAAACTATTTGCATCTCATGTACAATCAAACATACACATATAAAAATGACTAAGATTGTAGTTTACAAGTAATGCCAATAGGTTATTCATCAACATTAAACAGTAAGAGGAAACACATGTCTGAGTAATTGATGGAATAAACAGTTTACCTGACTCATTTTACCTGTGCAATATACTGTTAGAGGTACAAGTCTTCTGAATATCATATCAAATGCCAAGATTTTCTTGAAAATCAAGCAAATGAAAAATTTCAGCAATCCATGTCTCAAATCAATAAACACAAAAACCCTGTTTACATGTCCTTGTTATGTTAAAGCTACTAAACTTTTTTTATCACACAAAAGAGAAGCAGATAATGGAATTTGATTATATCACACTCGCACCTTCCTCTCTCTTCCCTTTAGGAGATGATGGAACTCATTTCAATTTCCTTCATCTCCTGTATGTCAGCCTTTAGCCTCAACTTCAGAATCTCCCGCCAGATGGCCTCGAGGTGCTCAGGATGTGCTATGCCTAGCCTGATGAGGGTGCCTTCCGTCATCCTCACAAGGGCCTTGCCAGTGATGTCATGCTGAAAGTGGTATTATATATTAATTAACATAATTGCATATTGTTCCTCTCTCGTTCTGGTTGAATATTTGAGTACCCTCCTCTCCCCCCTTTTTTATACAAGTCTCCAATCATTTAGTAGTCTTCCATCTAAAAATATGTAATTTACATACATGCACTTATTACTTTTACTTAGAAGATTGAAATAATAACAGTAACAATAACAACAGCAATTATAACAATATCAATAATCACTGAAATACCTAGTACATGGGTATGTATTTTGGATTTCTCTGCCTAAATTTTAGTCTACGCACCTGAATGAGAAGATGGGAATATAGCTGAAAATATTCACTGCAATGCCGCTTGAACCACTTTTGAACATCTGCCGTAGTCCAGAGATAACATGGCTTTGGACGAGTTAGTTTACCCTGTTAGAAAAAAAGAAATGGATTTTACATTATGTATAAATTGACTTACAAAAAGACCCACTCAAAGATACACAGATAACACATAAGCCCCAAGAGACAGAGTATTTTATTTACCTTAGGCTTTGGAGTTTGAGATGCATCCACTCCTAGTGTCATTGTCATGGTCCTCTATTCTGGATCTGAAAGTAAAAACTGTGTACTGTAGCATGACAGCCTTGTGAACCTTGTGAACTAAATCTAAATAACCAAATAATCATTCGCATGACGTATAATTATATGCGTTAATATCTGTATTTTTTTTTTTTTTTTCTGATTTTTTACCTGAACTTCCCAACCCTTAGGGAGGTTGTGCTTTTGTGGTACTTTGGCTTGAGGCCGGTCCACCATAGTGAATGCTTGCCCATCATAAAGGAAGGGGAGCATGCTACCACAGAGCTTCTGAAGTGCATTATATACATGGATGTGTTTGTGTGGGTGTATGTGTATATACAAGGTGCCCCTCAAAGCGATATTATCACTTGATATATCTATACAATGTCTATTATGATACATATAAGTTTTACAAACCAAATTAAAGAAGACAAACAAAAAATCATCTAGAATAATGTAAGTGTTTAAAAGTGCTCTCTTGAATTCCTTACTCTAACAGTCCTGCATAGGAAGATAAATTCAATATAATAGCTGTAAGTACAATTTAATTTCTGGGATAAATAAATATCTGTATATATCAATACTGCTTACTTTTAAAACTAAGTTTTCGGGTATACCTACCCTAGGGGAGGACTCTCTATAAGGTGAGAAAAAATAATCTTCCTTGTGATCCGAGGAACTAATCTTTTGTAATACTAGAGAAAATTAGAAAATTCATGTATTAACTTTAGTAACTTACAAACAAATGGATAGAGAGGTTTATTATATTCTTAAAATTCCTCATGAAAGAAATGGAAAAATGGAAGTTAAATGTATTAATTTCACATATGAAAAAAAAATTGCCAAAATAAAATGAGCATTACATTTATCAAAGCAGATCTGTTGATTTGTGTGTAATTTTGCTGCCTTTCCTGGTTAAAAATATATTCTTAAATTTGAGAGCACATCAAATAAAAGTATTCACAAGGGAGATCTATATCGCTTCCTGTTCTTAAAACTGAATCGGGTTTCCTCCCCCTGGATTTGGGGCAGCTCATGTATAAGTCTGAAGAAAAAGAAGAAAAAGAAGAAGAAGAAGAAGAAGAAGAAAATTACTATTTTCCTTGTTTTGAAGATGCTTTTTGTTCTTTAGCAGTTTACATAAATTTCATTAAAATAGTATTAACCTTTAGCTTAACGTTTAAATAATTTAATTTGAAATGCATTAAAACATAATTCTGAGTTGTGACTCAGTTACTATATTTAATATGATAACCTTTAGCATCTCATTTTATTTCAATCAAATTTCTAATTTACCTATTTATGTTGCTGTGATGATTTGGTTGTTGGTTCTAAGAACAACATATGCTCTGTTTTGGGTAAGAAGGTGATATGTGTATAATGTGTATTTGTAATTGTAGAAATTTGTATGTGTAAAGTAATTTGTGGATTTTCAACTTTTTACCTTTTCTCATGGTGTTTATTGTGCCTTCCTTCCAACAGGTGGCATGCACACACATGCCATGGTAAAAGTGGACTCTTTTCCAGGTGGCATAAACAACCATTCCACACACATCAAGCCTGCTCTAAATTGTATGCTAAACAGATAAATGCTTGTTTGCCCATTACTGCAGCAATCTAGGAACTACAGCTCTTCCAAAGGAGGCGAGTTGCTTTTCAGCCTTCTTCACTAGCCCTTGTATAAGCCAAACTCTCTCGCACTATGCCTGGGGTGAAGTATAACCTCAATGCACAATGGCACTGGGTTATAAAGTGGATGCTGTATAATCTCCTATAAGTAGTCTTCTATAAGAAAAAGAGAGAGAAAGGAAGAAAGAAAAAAAAAAAAACGATACTTTTGTTCTTTTCAAAACAGATATCTTCCAATCTCTCCCCAGCTTGGGTTAAACTTAAGCTTAGCTTCACCCCTAAAATCAGACGATATTCAACTGAGTGTACATATATGCAGTTTTGATATTCTCTCTCTCTCTCTCTCTCTCTCTCTCTCTCTCTCTCTCTCTCTCTCTCTCTCTCTCTCTCTCTCTCTCTCTCTCTCTCTCTCCCTCTCTCCCTCCCTTCGTATATCTCTCTCTCTCTCCCTCTCTCCCTCCCTTCGTATATCTCTCTCTCTCTCTCTCTCTCTCCCTATATCTCTCTCTCTCTCCCTCCCTATCTCTCTCTCTCTCTTTCCCTCCCTATCTCTCTCTCTCTCTTTCCTTCCCTATCTCTCTCCCTCCCTCCCTCCCTATATCTCTCTCTCTCTCTCCCTCCCTCCCTCCCTCCCTATGTCTCTCTCTCTCTTTCCCTCCCTATCTCTCTCTCTCCCTCCCTCCCTATGTCTCTCTCTTTCTCTCCCTCCCTATCTCTCCTATCCCTTTCCCTTTCCCTCCTTCCTCCCTCTCCCTTTCTCTCTCTCTCACTCTCTTCTCCTTCTCTCTCCCTCTCCCTTTCTCTCTCTCTCACTCTCTTCTCCTTCTCTCTCCCTCTCCCCCCCTCTCTCTCTTACCCTTCTCTGCCCTCTCCCTTTCTCCATCCCTCTCCCCCCTGTCTCCTTGTCTCTCTCTCTTCCTCTGTGTTAAATTATGTATTTTCTGGCTTAACTTTTCATTTGAGCATGACTGAAGCACTAAGTAGTATTACTTGATGCAATGATCTATTAATCTATGCACATTGTCTTTCATTCCAAATAGTACGTCAAGATCACACTATTAGCTCATCATTAATTTCAAGTAATCCTGTTGCAAATAAGTGTAAAGAGTTCCTTCAAGCTGTAAAAACAACCGACAAAAGTTCTTAAATCTAGGACCACATCCCGAGGCTGACTCATAGAATCGCTAATCTCTAACACATACATTCTGCCACGATAGAGTGTGGACTGGTTTCTTAGTTGTAGATAAATTACAAATATTCTCTCCTGTAGGGATATTGGGCTGATCATGTTTACAAACAAAGTCACATGGGCAGTGAACTGGGGGCTAGGAATAATCGTGAGCTCATATTTGAAAGCTGTGACAATAACTATGGATATCAATTTGAGACAACAAAAATCATATACAAAAAAATTGATGCTTTAATAGCAAAAATAAGGGTAAAGGTTAAGCTGCTAGCCTGCTAGTAAATTGTCTATGTAGGTCCATTGCAAATGAAAGTTGTGACTGATTGAAACTAGAATTTTACTGAATAAATATTCAGAATACCTTTACATGACTAAGCACAATGATAGTATTATTGATGA